AGAGTTCTTTGGTCAGCAAGTCTTCAGTTCTTTGAAAATTATAAAAGGGTCTGACTAAGCTATTGACTTCTGCTAGACGGCATTGTGGTCGAAAGAACATAGAGTCAAGGGTAAGTCAGAGAACAAAGACGAGCTTCCTTATATTAATTTGAATCTGCACTGCGGCTCTACCCACATAATAGACATTTAATAGCTTTCATAAAATTTACAATAAAATTTATTGGGATTTATTGACAAATGACTTGCGAAAGAGCTGGGAGTAAAAAGAAAATTATCCAGGGTATAATCAGTGACATAACTAAAATGATGTTTGAATGCCTAAAGAACCAAAGACAATTACTATTAACCCTTAAAGGTGCAAAGTAATGATTTCCACTAAAAGAAATTAATAGTTTAAAATGATGCATAGTCATGAAGACCTGGATACTGTGGCCTTGCATAACTTGCAGGTGGCTGCCATAGCGTTGCTATACAATTGCTAAGATGTGTTTTAGCTAGTTCTGTCAAAATTAGCATGTTAACGCAGGCCATTAATTTTTCCAGTTTAATGACGATAAAAATATTTAACGCAGTTAACACAGGGGCAGAGCTTGGGTTGGCCACCTCACTCACAACTGCTGCTTCTGCCTCTTTTTTCTTGACAAGAATTGCATTTATTTAGACACAGAACGTCTTTACTAGCACATCAAACAGGAGACTTTTCAGATGCACTCTCCATTTTGCCTCAGCAACAGGCGCTAGTCAAACAAGCGTGGAAACAGAACTGCGGTCAGATGAGATGTTGTCAGGCCATATGTCAGTAAAATAGAATTTCCCTGTCCTGTCAGCCATTATACTGTATTTGTAGCGTGTGCTCTTCAATTGCACACACAAATATGGTGGCGTGCACTGTAGCCTGTATAATTTCAAATTAAAGCGAGAATGAAACTACGATCATGCCTGTCAGATCCATGTTACGTTCAGCAGCGGCAGCTCTTAAAGTAATAGCACCCAAATAACCTAATAAACCAGCTGTTGTAATGTCTGTTAATCAAAGAACAAAAGAAAAAAAAGAGGAATTCAATCATTTTTGTAGCTTTAAGGATTCATTTAGATTTAATTTAGAATTTAGTGTTTGATAACTATATTCAATTTCTGTATATTTCCTACTTGCTGAAGGGCACAGGAAAATATGACATTTATTATAATGGGTTTATGTGAAGATTGTTTTAAGCTCACTTAAATTAGAAGTTGATATTTTTTAAAGTCTAATAAATGTTAAAATTGATAGCTCTCAATTATACTGTAATGTCGAATGGCTATAAGTCAATGGTTAAATATTAGGGGAAAAAAGAACAATTTCCTGGAGATATCAGTAGTAATGGTATCAGTAATACTCGCCTTCAGTCATAAAAAAGATGCCATTAAACAAATATTTTAAATATACTGTCTTTATGTTGTTTCTACATGAATTTGAAGAAAGAATGTGATATTATTGCAAGATAAAAGTATATCTAAAAACTTTAATGTTATGTTGTATTAATCATGATTAATTTCAGAAAAAATTTGCGATTAATTAGGTTTTTTTGACAGCACTAGTTTTAGCACATTGCTCTGTGTTTTTTTGATATTCATATCAAAATATTCTGATGGTTCAGATTTCAGATGTTTCTCAAAATACATTTGTTGTAGACTTTACATGAAAAACAGTGACTGGAATCATGAATGCAAATCTGAACACTTCTTCCCCAATTTTGTTTAAAGCTTGTCACAGGAATTAAAATGTGCATTTACGTCACAATGTTTGCTTGAAATCAGTATTAGGGTGTAAAGTAGCTCTCCATCAGACACCCTGGTAAAACTGTAAGAGAGGGTTAGAAACACAGCACGACACAGAATGAATGACGTTGAAATCCATGAAATCCAGCAAATCAGAGCATTGAGAAGAACATTGCTTACGGCAGAGCGACACAGGGATCCTTTGTTAACGCTGAAGCCCCTACGAAAGCACCAGGAGGGACTGAGTTATATCAATACACCTGCAGATTAAGATAAAGTACCATAGGTTATATTGAATAACCGGAAAATGGCTGCCTGTTTCCTTATCTTTGTAATCTTAAACACTATTTATGGAATAGTTGTACTCATATGTGCTATGTGTGTCTGTGTGCGTGTGTGTGTGTATTTTTCAATAACTAAGCATGCACTAATAATATGCTTATGATTATTATCATTCACAGTATAAATTAGTCGTCGACCTACAGTATATGGATTTTTGATGGCCAATGCAATATCTTAGTGAGCAGGATGGTTGATGGCCAATATAAAGCCAATGTAGTACTATAAAATATCACACTATTTTATTTAAAAATAGCAAATAACACATGCATAGTTTACATACTATTTACAAAAATAATTAGAAATAAAGCATTTGGAAATCAATTTCAACAAAAAAAAAAAACAGATTTATGCTTCAAATCAGAACCTTTTGATTCTGTAATCCTATTTTTTAAAAAATATAGAACTCATTAAAACACAAATTAAAAGCAAGTAAACACTCTAACCCAACAGTACAGCAGTAATCTGGTACAGTATATGTAAAAATAATAATCTCACTTAGCAAGTGATATTTATATTAGTAATATCAGTCGACCACTAGTATGAATAGATATTCATTTAACAGTGTTTTCCGAATATTACAACAGTTTTGATTAGCACTTAGTACAGTTTACACTGCGCTCACAAGTGATTTCACTGCACATCTAAAAGTTTAATAGCATTTCAGAAGGAAGATGCAGTCTGTGATAAACCCACTTATTATGCTTATGAGCATCCCAGCATGCCTTCAGAAAGAGCAGAATGAATGCAGTTATATATCATATCTCAGGCTTTATAAGAGATTGTGAGTGTGTGTGTGTGTGCCCACACTGAGAGAGTGTGCTGGATCACACTGCGATGAGTCATGCAGGAAGTGTAACAGCAGTATCATTAGCATGTTATCCACATCCACCCACTCAGCCTCTCTCTCTCTCACACACACACACACACACCGCTTTCAATTGTTGCAGCTGACAAACACCTCTCATTGATGATGCTAATCACTGCCCTCTGCTAAGAAGAACATCAACAAAACACACAAATGCACAGATGTACACAAAATATACAAACGCAGTTGCCAAACACAAAAATGTTTCGCAACAACATGACAAAATAGCGCAAACTTTCAGTCAAAGGCCAGTCCAAAAAAAAAAAGCACCCAAAAGTTTCCCAGTGGCTCAGAAATGGATTAGCCAGTTAATACTAGACGGGTAGATTCAGCTGACGCTAACTTCCCTCGACATGGAATGTCGAGGGAAGGCTTTATACAAAAGGTCAATAATTCAGAGGAAAAAGAGTGTGGGAAAGTGTTTAGTTGAGGCAGCAATGTATAAAGTAGTGTCCTAAATTGAAAATTCATAAATGGAAAAGCACTATGTTTAAAATGTTATTCTTTGAACATTGAAAACAGTAATCGAACATCAGCAGTAATGCAATGATTAAATCTAAAACCACCATGGCCATTTATTGAGCGTCGCACTTTGTTTAGAAGGTCTTTTCAGACCAGTTTGATTAAATTTAGGCGTATTGTGTTCTTTTAGACCATCTTTGCATGTCATTCATATCTAATTTAAAAAACTGTGCAGCTCTGAAAGTAAAAAGTGAAAAGAAGTATTTTTAAAACATCTAGTCAATAAGCTAAATCACTGTTTAAATCATATGAAATTAAACAGAAGTGAAATTAAAAAGATATAATCTTGAAAGGTTGTATGAAGGAATTAATGAAAATAGCAAAGTGGGGAAAACAGTTGGACATTGCATTAAAAAAAAATCGTACCTAGAATTCAATCCTTGGATAAAACTTAGTGTTCAAATTGTTAGATCAATTTTGCATGTGCAGCTCATTCTGTGCTTATATTTGTATTGAATTTATAATGGTTTGGGTTTTTTTCGGCAGGCCTGAAAATAGAGATCTAGACAAATGGCTTAAATTCACCAGGCTCTGCCAAACTGTGAGCAAAAATAGCCATGATAATTGTGAAGGAAGTGTTCGAGCTTTGGGCCAAGGCTTATCTTACGCAGCTGCTAGCAGTAAGTAGTGTTCTCAATCAGAATGAGGATAAAGACGAGGATGAGGGCAAAGATATGGATGAGGAGAAGGAGAAGGTCAAGGATGAGATGAGGATGAGGAAAAGGATGAAGAAGAGGACAAGGACAGGACTTAACTTTTTAACAACTTTTTTTTCCTTTTTGCTAGAAGTTAGTAAGGCTTGTACCACAGATTAGTTCAAGTGGTAACATTTTCACTGGGCCAAACACACACACACACACACACACACAGGTTTCCATGTTTTAAGGAGACATTTCATTTACTTAATGATTTTTATACTGTACAAACTGTTATTTTTATCCCTTTACCCTACCTCTAAACCCACCTCTCACACAAAACTATTGGCAATTTTTAGATTTTCAAAAAACTTAATTCTGTTTTGCTCATGAAAAAAATGTCCCCACAAGAACAAAATTTACTGTATACAAAATGTACTCTCCTTGTAGGTTCATTTGGACCAAGAACACATACGCATTTTGTATCATTTTACATTCATAAATAATAAATATAACATTTTACAATCGAATATGAGGTTTTCTTTAAAAAAAAGATTTGTGATACACAGTTATACAATATAACCGATCATTATTAGTTCATGTTACCTCCTTGAACCTTTGATTTTAATCATGTATAAGTAAATGTTGAAATTAACAATAACTAAGACTAATAAATGCTTTGTTATGTTTCTTTAGTAAATACTACATTTTAGTATTTCATTGTTAGTTATCATTGTTTGTTAGTACTAACTAATGTTAACAAATAGGAACTTATCCCAGTTAGATGATTTTACCACAGATTAATGCCCCACAAAACCAAATGCATAAGTTTGCAAAGTATAAAACTTCATGTACATAACTAAGAAATATATACTTACAGCGCTGGCATAAAAAGACAAGTGACATTTCCATCAACCGACCTGAAACTCTCTCACTCTGGCCCTGGACCAGCCGACCACCTTTGTAGTTGAATTAGGGCTCCTGAGCCAATGAATCATAAACCCACACTGCTCTTTCTGAGAAGTCTAAATACATTTCCAGCACCTAAACCAGCATTGAATACCTACGCACAGAATATAGAGGACTAAACCCTGGGTTCACGCCCTGGTGATCAATACTGTTAAAAACAACAATCCCCTTATTTCCTTTTTCTTGTACCTGCCTGGATATATACACCTCTGGGGGTTGGGGGTTTCATGCATCTTTCACAGAGCGAGATGTGTTTAGAGCGTCAACAATATCCTGATGACAATGCATTGAGAGTCACACTCTCTAAAGGTCAACCACCCACATGAGGGCCAATTAGAGCCTGCTGTCAACTGCTATCACATGTGAATTATCACCTCAGAACTGCAGAGAAGTGACGTCAGGCGATGAGAGTGCACAGATTTTGATGAATATTCCCTCCTCTAATTCTCTCATACTATTTATCTCTATTTCTCTTTTTGTTTTCTGTCACCATTGTCTCCATCCTTCTTGTTAACACAATGAAGAAAGAGCATTTTTTTAACACACACACACGCGCACACACGCACACACACGCACACACAGTGTGCAGACAGCCTTCACAGATCCACATTCCACACAGCCTGAAACACAACCACACTAGAATACAGAATACTGTCTTATGGAAAATGCACTGCTCTCTTCCCACAATGCAAAGTGAGCCTCTTGGGGGGGTGAAGAAATTGCCGTAACAAGACTTATCACTCGAGGTTGTATCTCATGGAGAGAACACAGACCACAGCTCCAAATCAAACTAATTACTAATTTGTGCTCATTTGCTGACACTTTCCATCCAAAGAGTCTTATATCACGTCTTAATTAAGCGTGACACAAAGCGCCGAGCGATATGTCTGTCAGGAATAAATCTCTTTCAGAAGTCTTTCATTGAGTAATAACGTACATTGATCTAGTAATTCTGTACATTTTGTGCTCCATAGAGGGAAAAAACATGCAGTTTTCTAAAGACATGAAGTTGATTTCGTGAGCTGTATGTGAGGCGGTCTACGCCAGGTTCACACATACTCCATTTGCAGTGCGTATGTAGGCCATGTGCCGTGTAACACCATGTAAGTGGTGCAGAAGCAGCTTTCACACAGGAGTCTGCAACTGATCTGTGGCTGTTTACCACAAACACATTTATCCATTATTTTGATTTCAAATCCAAACATTGTCACTGAAAATGCTTTTTCAGCATTGCAATTCTTTTTTTACACAGTACAGTAATACAATCTTTCACAGACATGTTTAAACACAATAAATTTGCATTTACTTCTAGATTTCTATATTAAGTTGCTCAAGAGAAAACAAATACTTTTCTTACGTTATCACAAACTTACCATTGACAGAAAGAGTCAGCTCTACTGCCTTTTCTTTTGCATTGAAATCTTTATTACAAGCAATCCTACGGTTCATAAAGAATTTTGTTTTCCTACCTCCACGAGTGCCATCTATTATTGCCTTGTTTATCTAAAAGTGCTCTTTCCCTTTAAACCTAGCCAAAAAGCCATATGTGTTGACTGTGAAACACAGTAGACTTTAATAATATGCATTTATGGTGTAATTACTACATTTTCGTGTCAATCCATGTTCATATTTACTGCAAACAATGCGCTCTCACTTTAATTTCGCAGCAAAAATAGACTCGGTAGGAAACGATCTCTGCACTGCTGCAGACACACCGCTCGTGGAATGCACCGACAGACTCAACTGTGTGCAGTGTGAACGCTTTAATCCGTTAACATGAGCGTGGAAAAAATACGCACCACATACGCACTGCAAACAGAGTATGTGTGAACCTGACATTATGTGTGTGCGCTTCAAGTGTGCATGAGCACACAGTCTTCAGGAGAGTGCGCAAGCTCTGAATGGTTAAACACGGGCAAGAATTAAAAAGTAATGCAATTTATAAACTTTAGTGACGATGTGACTTCCTCGATTGCACAAGTGACAATTCCTGTGTCAACTGTGCAGCGTGCAGACAGCTCGCTTATAGACAGACGCGATGTAGTGATTTGAAGCCATTTGTGTATTTTGAGAGAAAAAGAGAGAACGCGCGGTGATTCACTCACGCTGTTTGTGAAATTACGTCTCACACAAGCTGAGTACCTCACATTCAGCATTATAATTATTTTACCCGCGCCAGACAGAGACTGAGACAGTGCCGCGGCATGTCGTGCCAAACCTCTCAGGGCAGCGTCATCAGCTTGAGATCGTTTTTTTGAGATCAGCCTTTTTAGAGACCGCCGATCAAACATCCCAACGTGATTATCGGCCGATAGTGATCGGTAGCCGATCACTATCGGAGCACCCCTACTGATTTGGTGCTCAAGAAACATTTATGTGCTTAATATTTTTGTGGAAACCATGATACTTTTTCAGGATTCTTTGATCAATAGAAAATTCAAAAGAACAGCATGTATTTAAAATGTATTTGAAGATCTTTAAAAAAAAAAAATCTAAAAGTCTTTAATGTCACTTTTGATCAATTTAATGCATGCTTGCTGAATAAATGTATTAAATTTCCTTCTAAAAAAAAACAAACAAAACTTTTAAACAGTAGTGTAGCTTTAAAAGTCAAGACATTAGGTCAAGGTTATGGCTTTTGGATGATATTTTGCGGGGTTTAAACCTACTACCTTTCAATTACAAGCTTCAAACATTAACCACTACGCTGCATCCAAACCATACCCACCAAACCCAAAAATCTCTACCATCTGAAGTTTTGGAGGTCTCTACAGCCTCTTTGCACTTACTTTGTTCATTTAGATCTTCATTATAGAAAAAACAGGAGCAGATGGTGTTTGTGAGTGTAGAGAATTTTGTTAGATTTATAATGTATATGTGAGGTTGATCAGAGAGAGACAATGCAACTCTAATATGAGAAATCTGGAACACACAATGAGTTAGTCTGCAGAACAGATCACACTGTGCCAATGAAATCAACAATGATTTTCACTGCTGACTACTTTATCCAGACTGCATTCAGACCACCTGTGCATTTGCTAAAGCAATGAAGGCAATACTCTACCAAAAAGTCAATTTATTCAGGTTGTTTATTTCGGCATGCAAAAGAGACTATAGTGTATACAGAGTAATGTGTTTCAATCATACGAATACAACTCACTTAACCTCATTAACCACCAAAATTAATGGAAATTCTGGAATAAATTATTTTGCAGGAAGAAAATGTGTGCAAATAGATTAGTTAAAACAGCAGAAGGTTTGGTTTTGTGTTATGATGGATTCTGACACAGAAAGGTGTCACTAAAAAGTTTAACACTGTTCACTCACCTGGGGAAACAAACAAAATGTTTTAACCATCAAAGTAGTATCAAAATACAGAATTAACAATATTTCTGACCACTGTTATTTTAGTGTCATTTAGAAGTTTTTATTAATATTTTGAACAGGGCTCTGAAACAGTTCAAGGAACGAAAACCGGAAATGAACAAAATTTTGACAGGAACAGAACCAGAAGCAGAAACGAAATCAAATTTTATAGTTCCGAACAGAATTGAAAATTTGAACTGGCCATTAACCGGTTAATAATGTTATTTTATCGCTCCATTTAATATTTTTAATTTGCTGTCAACCAATCACGAATTCTAGTAGTACGGCCTATGCAAATGTGATGCTGACACCAGCGAGTGAACTGCCCGCTCAGCTGTGAACTCATCATAGGTAAGTCGCAATGGCAATGCACTGGCGTTAGTTTATCCGAGGATAGTGTAAGAAGAATTCAACAGATCACATGCACCTGCAGCGCTTCTGTGAAAGGAGAAAACAGAATAAAACTATAGGCTTACATAAAAAGGAATATAGGCATATACACAAAAATTCACAAATCATTGACAGATTAACAAAACGAAAGAAAAAAATGTGTGAGTTACGGTTCATTGTGACGCGTTCCAAAGTTGTCGGAAAGGAAAAAGAGAAGGCAGAAAGTAGTTTTCTTAATTTTTTTCTTTATTTATTTTGCAAAAGCTTGACCGTTTTGAATAAAGTCTTGCTTCTATCTGTATAACCATCCAGCACTGGTATGACCATCGCGCCGGCGCCTCACGCACACACACAACATATTTTTGCAACATTGCAGCCTGTTCATTATCAAAATAAAATATAGTTAAAAAAACGAATAAAAAGTTACACTGTTCCAATGTACAAAATTTGTTGCATTCAGCTTGACCAGCGCCTCACTGTGCTGATATAGCCGATGTGAAGGATGATGTTTTATGTCGATGACAGTACAAAGCCTAGCCTATAATAAATAATATTTTAACATCCAGATACATCGCGAATATAGAAACATTTGGATTTGTGCCGAGTGAGAGAGGTGGGCATCAGTTTCACCTTAAATTAATTTGTTTTTGGATTGACGTTTTTATAGTCCAAATGCATAGCCTTAACTTTAGAGGATTTGTTATGGAGAGAAACTAATAACTGAGTTTATAATGTTTGTAAACATTTTGCTTTAGCCTAGGCATTTTAGCCTACATTATTTCTGAATGTTATAGGGCTAATAAAATGCGACGTGAGCCTATAGCCTATGCAACTTATGTTTTTTTTTCACTCTCAAAACGCAATCTTATACAAGTAGCGGTTTTTTTTAACAATGCAGCAAACATTTTTAAATATCTTAAAAATACTTTAATGTCTTTAAAGTGTTGATAGATTTTTTTCTTTTGTTTAGTAGCCTACATTTGGCCAAAATCTAGAAAAGATGGTGCTGTATTAACTGTGACTAAGCGCAGAGGGTTATAGGTTAACGCTACCAGACCTCTTCCCGGTTTTTTTTTTCTTTGTTGTGCATTCCCTAAGTGAAAGCTGTCTATAAATCAGATTCTTCTCAGAGGTACAGGACCTGAACGTTTACATAATACATGATGATTTCAACATGGAATGCAAGAAGAATTATTTTGAAATATTTGATGTAGTACACAACCGTTCA